ACATTATTATCAAAATATTAAATAAAATCGATTGAATTGAGGGAAAAAAAAAAACGCAGTTCTTCACAGACATCAGTCATTCAATCTAAAAAATCAAACTCAAATTGAATAAATCAGATCAAATTGAATACATGTGATGATAAAGAACACTATAACGAATCAAAACCCTATAAATTTAACACATTATTTGCAAAATATTGAGTAAAATTGATAGAATGGCGGGGAAAAAAAACGGCAGTCCATTTTTTCTTCACAGACATCAGTATTTTTTTTCTCAAAAATCAAGCTCAAATTAAATACATGTGATGATAAACAACACTATAATGAATCAAAACCCTATAAATTTAACACATTATTTGCAAAATATTGAGTGAAATTGATAGAATGGCGGAAAAAAAAAAAAACGCAGTCCATTTTTTCTTCACAGACATCAGTCTTTTTTTCTCAACAATCAAACTTAAATTGAATAAATAAAATCAAATTGAATACATGTGATGATAAACAACACTATAACGAATCAAAAGCCTATAAATTTAACATATTATTTGCAAAATATAGAGTGAATTTGATAGAATGGCGGAAAAAAAAAAACAAAACGCAGTTCTTACCTGTTTTTCGTGCACACATGGCCTTCAAATTCAAATTTGATATGTATTCATCCAAAATACTCACCAATTATGAACAAAAACTTTTGAACAACACTCTTACGATCAATAACCCTCAGATTTTACAAAAAATGAAGCCCTCTTTTGCTTGAAATCTAAGAAATGGTTGAACCCTAAAACGTTTTTAAGGTTCTTCACAGATCCAAATTTTTTTGATCAAAATCGGTGATTTTTACTACTTTTTATTGACTGAAATGGCTGAAAAATTTAAAATAAAGCCTGCAAGATTCGATTATAAAGCTGAAAAAGATGAAAAAATGATAAAAAAAAATGACAAAAAACCATGACAATCGTGAAGAACACTGTGCAGCCTGTGTTCTTGGACAAGTCACTGTTGAAACTCGGCGATTCACTATTGGGAATCGCCCGGTTCTCTCTATACACGGGCGATTCCCTGTATTGTAGTGGAACCGACATGGGGTCTACCGATTCCCGAGTCGAACCGGGCGACCGAGTTTTCAAACCCTGAGATAAACACATTCCATGAATCCACCATAAGCATGGACAGTTCATAACATGCCAAACTGGTTAAGCATAAAATGGGGCACAAGAGGTGCCCAAAGACCAATCACTTTTGAGAGAAAAAAGTATGAAACCCATACCAAGAATATTTTCAACGTCATCAACAAATCCCATATTAAGCATTTCATCAGCCTCATCAAGAACACGGAATCTCAAAGACTTCAAGTCAATATTGTTTCTCTCGATATGATCCTAAATCAAAGAGAACAAGTTATTCGCCAGCAGAAGGCCCAATGTCTTCTAGAGCAACTTTTAATTCAATAGAATATAGTGCGAAAATTTACAGAACTACTGATAAAAAGTACTGGGGTAGAGAAAGAGAGAGAGAGAGGAGGGGTAGGGGGAAGTGGAGGAGGAGGGAGGGAGGAGGGAGGGAGGGAGGGAGAGAGAGCGAGGGAAAGGGAGGGAGGGAAAGAAAGAGAGAGACAGAGACAGAGAGAGAGAGAGAGAGATTAATATCTTGTTACAATATGCAATAAAAAATACCACAGGAAAAACTTAAGTTTACCTTAATGCGACCTGGTGTTCCAACAACTATATCAACACCCCTTTTAAGTGAAATTTCCTGAGGGCGATATGGGGCTCCACCATACACGCAGCATGAAGTTAAACCCACAGACCCGCCATAAAACTCAAAGTCTGCAAATACCTAAAAAAAAAAAAATAAAGAGAGAAAGACAAACAATTGCAGTAAATGAACCTATATAGCCCAAATTACAAATCTTACAAGCAAAACAAAAGCATCTTCTTAATTCATAAAAAATTAAAGTAAAATACAGCTTAAAAAAAAATGTACCTGTTTAGCCAACTCCCTGGTAGGGGCTAGGACCAGGACACTGGGTGATCTTCCATAACCAGTTTTCCTAGATTCTCCATCACGGGGCCTGGTCAAAGATTCTAGAATGGGAAGAACAAATGCCAGTGTTTTACCCTATAAATAATAGTAAAGCCACATCAAAAATATGGCTAAAAAAGTATAACCAAATGCTTATGTTCAGATGAAACACCGATGAAAGTAAAAGTGATGGATGACCAAAGGAATGCACCAATTTATCAATAAGAGGATGGTGTGCCAATTAGCACTTCAAAGTGTGTTTTTCACCATTAGAAGGAAGCAACACCAAAATGTATGATCAGCTTGAAGAGAAAACATAACAGTTCAATAAAGCTATTATTTGCCTCCCCATAATTAGTATTTCTTATTTTGTTGTTTTTTCGATTGGCTAAATATCTCCCTTATTGTGCACCTTTAAACCTAATTAGTATCAATGGCAGCAAAAGATGCTGAAATAGACATGCTATCAAGCTGAGCATTATTTTTCATGGTAGCAGAGAGTTCAAGTTGATCAACATAAAATTCAACTTCTGGGCGGATGGGTAAAGGGCATCGTAAAACAACTTAAGACCAAAAAGCTGGTCAAATGATCCAAATAAATGCACAAAAGTTAAATTTTACATTGAATCTGTACAATTTCAAGGAAGTGAATAAAACCCACAACAGATTTACTCCATAACCTATAAATATAAAAAAAATGACTTTATCATAATGGGAAACTGCCAACATAATACATTCAGGTACTGCACTATTAGACAAAAAACTACCAATGTGTTTTCAAGGAATCATCAAGTTCATAAGTGATGAGATTCATTTATCCAAAAGGAAAATCAGGAGGTTGACATATGCATGAAACATATGGAACCACAACAATCATAAGGACCAGTAATCATAAAACCAAAACACGGGCAACAAGATTACTTTTTCACTCGCAGTCTAATCTAGACCAAGAATGAAAAAAAATCCCATATTATTATTTCTACTTAGCAACTCTCAGATATCAATTTCAATTAACATGTAAATACTAAAGGCCTAAAAGCCCATAAATCCCCACTGTAATAGTAAAAAAAAACCAACTTTTATTGAGATAGAGAGAGAGAGAGAGAGTTTTATACCTGACCAGTGCGAGCTCGACCCACCAAGTCCGTACCTCCAAATATGGTATCAAAAGTCATGGCCTGGATTGGGAAAAGCGACTCAATCCCCTTCGATTTCAGCTTCTCTCTCAATACCTTGGAGATATTGAAATTAACAACTGCGTTAGGGTTTGCTTCGCCATCAGAGACCAGCTCCCCATCAATTGTCTCCCCCTCTTCATCACTAACCTTCTGCTTCTTCGACAATTTCTTGCTGCTTCCAACCTTCTTCTTCACTGTCTCGTCTGATTCAGAGGTCGTCTCTCCATTATCCTCTTCCTCCACAGCCTTCCTCTTCTTCTTGCTCTTCTTCTTATGCGACAAATCCTCTCCCGAATCACTGTTAATTTCACTTCCTTTCTTCTTGCTCTTCTTCTTATGCGACAATTCCTCTTCAAACTCACTGTTAACTTCACTTCCTTCAGGATCATAATCCATAGCTCTGGTTTTCTTCTCCTTCTTCTTCTTCATCTTTTCAATTGCACAGCCAAACATGTCGTCTAAGGGGTCAGAGATCTTGAGAGATGGCATGGTCTAGAGAGAAAAAATCAAAGGGTTTTTCACCACAGGAAGTGGGAGAGAGAGGAGAGGATTTAGAGAGAGAGGGAAAAGAAAGTACAGGAGTTTTAGAGAGAGAGAGAGAGAGAGAGGGATGGCTGCTTCCCCTGCAAAAGGGTCTTATGCCAGAGGAGGCGCGGCAGGGGAGAGAGCAAAGAGCGGAACGCGACGCGTTGCGGTTTTATGCATAAAATGAAACCCTAGAGAGGGCAACACAAAGTCACTTTTTGGGAAAATGGTTTGATAGGGCGGCGGCCCTATCAAAGCATTCAAGCTTCACCTCTTCCAAAATTACAGGGACGCCGTTAGCGTGCGGGCAACCGACCCACATGTAGAAATACGGGCTCCTTAATAATTTATTTTTGAGATAGAATTTGATTCTAATTTTTGGGATTATATAATATAATCTTTTAACATTGAGATTGTTAATATGTAGAAATAAATAAATTTTAAAAATTAAAAATAATATTTTTTGGAAAAAATATTTGAACCATTGATTTTATTTTTTCTTTGGATGATTAATACAAAAGGACTTGGTTTTGGTGAACGAGGTAGATCTTCGGCTTGCATACCGCACCAAACAATTTTTCAAATTACAATTCAAGCAGTGAAAAACTTTTACATCGGGGAATGATATCTTGTCACAGTGTCATTATAATATAAGGAAAGCATAGTTCTAAAACAACATGTTTATGGCATTTTTTTTACTCCAAATTTTGCATACGCACTACCTTCATCTTAATAATCAATCTAAAGAAAAATAAAAATCAATTTGCACCCTTAGTCAAAATGAGTTCCCTCTAATATGAATCTAGACCATCTATTTGATGAATTTCAATATCTAGGCCTTTACAAATTCAAAACCAATTTTTCCTTTTTTAATATTGATGTAATGATAAGAATATAATCCAAAAATTTTGAAAAGAAAAAAAATCATTATAGGGCCTAGATCTAAGCCTCTCATTAAAATGAAAGGCCTATATTAATTGGGGCAAAAAACATTTTTTTTTTCTTTTTTATATTTGTTCATTGGAATTAAAATAGCATATATTTAAAAGTTGAAGTCAAATAAATTGCCCTAACGTGGTTTTCAAAGATAGTTTGATTATATAATAATTAAACCGTGGCATGAACACTCTGCATCGATCATCTTCACTTGAACATTACGGTTGTCAAAATGAATTAGGATTTCAAGTTCTAAAAACAGTGTAAATTGTATCAAAATATCTAAACCGTTTATTTCGCCATAAAAATAAGTGTTCACATATCTGCAAGATCTGTATCATTTTTTTAGTTTCAAAATTCTTTTGGTGTTGGAAATTTATTTTAGAGACATCATAGATATTTATTTTGTCGAAAGTGCTTTCCGGAGGAGGATTTGAGGTGAAGCTTTATTTTATTTTTAGACACTTTTTGTTAAAAAAAGTAGAAAGCCCTAAAAAGCACGGAAATGGTGATTATGGTTTGTCGTGCTTGACCTTGAAAACATAAGGCTTGTATAAATAGAAAACATATCTATTACATCCCTATGTTTTATCTTGTTTAAGACAATAAATTGTGGGAAAGTATATAAAGAGACTATTTACTTTTAATACTACTTACAATCATTTTTGTTTGTCAAATTTAAAATCGGATAAGTATCAATATAAGGTACAAGAAAAATAAAAAGAAATTGTTTATATAAAACTGTTATTTTCTCAAACTTTGTGATACGCCTTTGACCGATTGATTTTACACTTGATGGCTATGAGTGATTGCGATTTTCATGTGACAAGAATAAACGGCCATGCGATATGTAATCCCAATTCTAAATTCTAAAGAGATTTGTTTATACACAAATCCGTGACAATGAAGATGATCCCTCCCCTATAATATTATTAATTTAGACTAATATTAATCCTTAGCATAGAGAAAATAAAAAGATTAAGGGACAGGCAAATTACAACCCATGGAAAGTTGATCCCATAGATTCCTCTCTGCTATGTTCCATCTCATTGAGGACCATCCAAAGCCTTGGATAAAATTAAATCTAAAGCATATCTAATGATGGGAACATGATAATGGAGATTAAAAATCAAATGGTAATTAATAAATTAATAGAACAAAAAGTATGAAAGAAATAATAAAAATGGCAAAATCAAGATAAAAGGTAAAAAATTATGAAGTAGGGCCCATAAGCCCGGCACGTGAAGTTGGGGCCTAGATTTGCATGACGAGTAAAAATCAGTCCTCTTACTTAAATGTTTCTTGAAATTTAATTTGTATTGAGACTAAAGAGTTTAATCAGAACTTCGATGGGGTTGAAGGTTGGAGGCCTTTGGCTACTTAAGAAGCGATTAAGGTTCCAAGGATTTTGTTAATTACAGTTTTTTGTAGAAATGCCATTTAAAGGGTACTATATCAATGGATTAGGGTATTTTTTAGGTTCATGGCTTTGTTTTTACAGTTTAGAACCTCTAGGAACCCAAAACAACAAAAATGAGGTGTCCACAATAGGTTGACAGCTTACTAGGGTAAGGAAGTGTAGCTGGGTTAGAGAGGGTCTACATGAGGGGATTTGGTTGAGCAAGAGGTTAGGGAAAAGTAGACTTTCCACTATGGACATGGTAAAGGAAAAATTTTATATTAAGTTGCAGCGTTGAATGCACCTAAAAAATCTACAGAAGAGAGTTTTCTGGTGTTAGAGAACTCTCGAACAAATTATTTCGACCTCGAGATGTATAGACATTAAGTAAGAAAAAAAGAATTCCAATAAAAAAATGGTCTTGATTAGAAGTTATCCAGATTGCCTATTTTCAAGATTTTAAAGTGTTCTTTGATCTACTCGATATGTAACTTTTTTTAAATATTAAATTTTATAACTAAGATGAAATAATTTTTCAAGCCATATGACTTCATTGAGAATATGACATTTAATAGAGCAGCATGGAGAACCAGTATTCATGTAGCCGACTTCAATTAATTAGAAAAAAAATTAAAATAATGATGAAATAGATTTTCAAGCCATCATAAGAATTTCGACACTAGAAAGACATCTCTAAGTAAAATTTAGAGGTGCTCCTTAGTTCTATACTATAATTCTAGGCTATGTGTATAAGCCCGTATAATTTCATATGGAGTGCAAGACATCTTATGTGGTGCGGTACATGAGGTGTACATCTGTGGCACAAGATGCGTGGAAGACATGGCAAGGTTGTTAAATTTATACCTTAGTTTAATAAAAATGGTTATAACTTCCAAATGGTATAGCTAATTTAGTTCTGACTTGAACCATTGAAAAGCTCTTGATTTGCCTAAAAAAAACTTTAGTACTCATATGATCATTACTTTTTCTGGTATTTATTTATTTATTTATTTTTATTTTTTTGCAGGTTTTAAGGGTATTATGATAATTTGGTGAAACTGGGATATATATATGAAAGCATCTATAGGTGTTTTGGGACTATATGTGATCCAACATAGGATTTTTGCAATCAATAACCAAACTAGTCAAATTTTATGTGACATATAGATACTTGTTTACAACTAAATTTGAAGAGATCTCCAATGACATATCTCAAAATTTATGCTTTAAATGGTTAAAATTTATGATCGGTAAAGATCGTAGGGATCGGCGAAATTACAGTTTTAAGACATTTGATCTTGGAAGATCAACTCTCTATGAACCGCCTGTAAGGCTGAGCTTTATGCACCCAAGCAAGTTTAAAAGCTAAAGTACTGATCTAAGCTAGAAATTTAAGCTTAAAATAAGAAAGAAACATTTTATTTGAAAGAGAAATTTGAGCTTAAAAAAGAAATAAGCTAGAAATTTAAGCTATTCAATGCTAAAAAATCCCTTGAAAGAGGATTTTAGACTTGGGTTAGCCTAGGGTTTTTTCTTGAACTAGTGTCAAGGCTTAGGTGTTCATAGCTGAGAGGTTACTCCGGTTTAAGGTTCAATGGTTGCTATAATTGCAGAGAGTTAAGGTTCAAAGGCTTACGGTTCCGGGGTTTATAGGATTTGAAAGGTAGAGGTTTCGGGTTTCAGAGAAACTCGTGATCTCAGGTTTTGTGTCTAATCCCCTGGAATCACACCGGAGGGGTATTTATAGGGCAACCACCAGATGCCCCATGATGGCTTTTGGTGGTGACTTGAATTCGATATGTACATTTTTCTAATTCGGATTTTCTTCCTATGAATCCTGGGAGCTATCCATTTCAGATAAGACTTGAACAGATTTGGATAAATTTAGGATACTTTTAAGGATTTCCTAGGGATTATTGACTATGATTATGGTGTATTAGGATTTTCCTGACTAGTATGGTCCCTGATGATTCAAGATTACAGGTTTCTGACAATTCCCTGAGACCGTACTCAAAGGAGGTGTCCATAGAAATAACACAAATCAATTTATGCTATTAAAAACTGTGTTTTTCTTGGGTCCAACATTCTTTAAAATTTTTGCAGTGTTATGCTTCAACCCTGATGCGAATGAAGCATTAACGATTTAGAAGGTGGGAGCATTCAAGCCGATGGCAAATGTATTTTTAACAACTTAATGTCTAATGTCTCCCTTTGGCATTTTAAAAATCGGACCGGTAAGCCAAACCGGTACTAGTTTAGGATAGGCCAACACTACCAAATTAAGAAAAAAAGAAAAAACAAAGAATGTGAAATTTGGATCTTAAAGTTGTTCAAAACATTTAAACAGGGTTTGGAATTCTCAAATCAATCCAAAAACAATGTTTCTTTGACATATTACCTATAAAAAAAATTACATTTTGGGTGAATGATTCTGTGTCTCTATTCTACAGGAGACCCCGGTCCCCCACTATTTCGAGCTGGCTAGGGCAGTAACAAGCTGGCTGGGAGAACAAGGTGAAATTTTCAAGCGGTTGTTAAGAGAAAGGCATCACCTCCTTTGGAAATTCAAATATTTGGTACACAAACAAAAAACAAACAAGAAAAGAAAAATAAACACAATGTGAACTGCAACGGCAGTACTTAGAAAGTAGGCTTCAATTCCAAAATAATCTTCAAGAACGTCTTTGACACTCTTGCTTGCTTGGCCAGGTAGATTGATTGTCTCAGTACAATCTCCCAACTGAGAAACCATCAAACCATAAATAGTCCAAGCCGCAGGATTAACCCAATAAAACCATCTCCACCAAAGAGGAATCATCTACAGCATAACCAACCTAAGTATTAGAGAGAGAGAGAGCGAGAGAGAGAGAGAGAGAGAGAGAGAGAGAGAGATGTAATTTTACTTACTGGTCTAGCAATGTAGAAACCAGAGAAAATGTTCCATAAGATAAACACTAAGAAAGAGAGAATGCCAGCCAACTCTTGGGTTGGAGTTAAAGCTACTGTCATCATCCCAAAGAGAGTGAAGTAGATGATACTTAGTAACATAAACAAAGTGAACCACAAGAACTTTGCCCCCATCCAAGAAAAACCGATCATCGGGTATACGATTAAGACAAAGAGTAGTACTTGGATCACAATATATGGGATCTCAATGACCACCTACAAAAGAGAAAAAGAAAATGAAGTATCAAGTTTTCTCGATCATTGTGGAATTTCTAAAGTCAATCAACTATTGAAAGATTATAAAATATGCGCATGCTATGCAGGCATTCCGCAGCCAATAACCAAGTGAAACACTGGATAGAAACAAATCCCACATCCCTTTGAAACTTTTTTTTGATGGAATACAGGTCCCTGGTTTACAACATTCTCACAATGTCCAAATCATGTTTTTCGCAGATATGCAGAAATAATTAAAATGAACATAAAATATTGTGAAACTTCTCTCCGATGGAATACAAGTACCTGATTTACAACATCCTCACAATGTCCAAATCATGTTGCTAGCGAATGTGCAGAAATAATTAAAATGACCATAAATATTGCAAAGAACAGTCAACAATGCATAAACTCAGAGTTATATGTCCTTTTTTTTCCCCCTCACTTTGCAAGATGTGAGGAATTTAATAAAATAGCTTGAGAATACCTGTTTCAAACAGTTTGTTTAACAAGGAATAATTTCTAATCTCAATAATTTCGTAAGCTTAGGATGAAAGTACATATTCACCTAAAAATTGTAAAAGCATATTTGATGAAACACTAACAAGGGGGTAATTCTCCCACTATATCTTGGATTCGCAAGGCATGACAACGTGCACGTGTAAACTCACCTATGCACACCTCCTTGACTTTTATTATACAAGGAATGTGTCTATAAGTTAACGTACCTGAGCAATGGCATAAGGCATGGCCGAATACATTCCGGCTGATTTCTCACGATATAAAACCATTCTCTCTAGGCCTACAATGGGTTGAACTGCAGTTGTGTTCGTGAAGCCCAAGAAGAATGCTAAAGAATAGATTGCACCAAGAGCGTTAAAAAAATCTTGCTGCTTGCTCCTGTATGCATAAAGAAAAAAAACAATAAATGCAAACGATAATCACTCCCAAAAATAAATGACTAGGATATATTCTTTACAGTAACTAAAATAAAGAGCAATTAGGATGATGCAAAAATAAGATTAAAATCTACCAAGTAGAGACTCACAGGTCCAAAGCAATGCCCCAGAATATGGTTGCAAAGAGAACCGATATTGTGATTGTGATGAGGAAACGGATGGCATTGTATTGGGGATTCCTCCAATAGGACCAATGCTGTTTCCACAAGCATACCATACACTGAGTCAAGAAGTTCTGAGAGGGCAAGGATTCGAAGCTAAGGTCTTTTGAAACTGTTGAAGGCCTACTCAATTCCTCTATGAGTTGCTGGTTTTCCCTGGCAATCAAAAGACAGTCACTATGGAGTACATAGTTTTTTTTTTCCCCTTTCTTTTTTATATTGAGAAAATACAAGGTTCCGTGATGGGAAGAACATACTTGTATAAACAGGAGTTGCAATAAACTTGAGCAAAATCTACAGCGAGATCAGTCTCCATGGCAGAAGAAGTAATGTCCAACATCCAAGCTGCTGGATTATAACCATCCTTTATTTTAGGAATCCCTGGAATAGCCTGAAAACAGCACACAGTAAATTTATGACTTTAAGAAGTTCAAATTTTTCATTGCAGTCCAAGAAAATAAGCAACTTTTCAAAAAGCAAAAAAGGCAATTTCTAGAATTAATTTTATCTTACGCTGACTATTTGTGGATAAATGACCATCATGATTCCACATCTTAGTTGAAAAACTTAAAAACAGGCTAGCAATAATCTCCAAAAATGTTTACCATTTCACTAAATCATGGATTATCACTAAGGTGACCATTTCGACTAGTTGGAGGCATCACATAGTAGATTCCTAAAATGACTGAAGTCCGCCATATTATCTTTAGATTATATTAATAACTCAACCTTTTCCAGCATACCCAATTACCCTCTCACCATTCATGTCTGTATACAATATGCAGACAAAACTAACTAAAGATCAAATCTTAAAGCTAAATCACTGCCATATATGGCCACTTCATTTTTCTGAAAATACTTTCTCAAGAATATTTTCCATTAGTTTGCCACTATTGTGACTTCCAATAGTCTCCTAATGGACAAAAATGTCTTTTCCATCTTCAACAACTCATTATGTTATATTCTACTTCTAGAAGTATTACAAGAAAGGAAACTCTTTGTGGAGAATCATTGATATTAAGAGCATCCAAATAGCATTAGGAAACCATATGGAAGAGGCATTGGGCTAAATGGACTTCTTATGTATATGTACTTACGAGAATATAGATAACCTTATATTTTCAATAGAAAATTGCTAAATAGATATCTTGGCTTAATAATACTAGTTGGCAACACCTGCAGCACATGAAGATTTGTAAAGAAATGAAGAAAAATTAATGTTCTGTTTTTGGGAACGGAAAACAAAAATCATAAAATCATGAAAATGTTTCTCTTTGAGAGAAGGCTAATAATTCTATTGATTGTCAAAATAATGGTGAAATCATACAGAATTATGGACTACAATATTAGACACAAAAATTAAAACGAATACCCAATTTGTTGAACTAATCAAAGTCTTGGAGATATGTCTTTCAGTAGAAGTCATATGTGAGAAATTCAAAACATTGCACAAAAGATACTAAGAAAATTGATAGAGAATACACCTCGAAGTACTGAATCAGGTTCTGAGAGAAATGACCCAGTGGTCCTTCATATATGAGCTGCCCACCTTTTTTCATTAGTAGTAGCTGCAAAAACAAAATTAGAACTTCAAACCAAGGCTCAAAAGACAAACACTGGAAAATTTAAAAATTAACTGAAGATACACAACCCTATCCATCTTGGATACCTCATCAAAAGCTTCAAAGATATCAATACTCGGCTGGTGTATGGTGCAGACCACGGTGCGACCTGTGTCAACAGTGTTCCTCACCACCCTCATGACAATGGCAGCTGCCCTTGCATCAAGCCCAGATGTGGGCTCGTCCATGAATATGATCGAAGGGTTTGCCACCAACTCAACAGCAATAGTCAGCCTCTTTCTCTGCTCAGTGGATAGGCCAGAAAGCCCAGGGACACCAACCAATGAGTTCCTTAATGCTTTCAGTTCCACGAGATCCATTACCTCCTCCACAAACATCTGAAACGTTAGAGCCAATCAAAATAAGACAAAACATAGAATCAATTAGAGAAACACCATGATAGTAGTAGTGGTTTCCTAAGATTATAAAGCTCTCTCTCTCTCTCTGTCCAATATTTTCCACAGTGGAGAAAGGAGAGAATATATCACATTTCAGGAGCTTCCTGACCACAAATCAATTTTCTTTGGCTCATTTATTGAGAATTAAATTATGGAGTTCACAAACAGTGCACTTACTTTCCTAGTAGAGGGCTCAATATGTCGGGGGAGACGAAGCCATGCAGAGAAGAGCAGGGACTCATAGACTGTAACAAATGGTGAATGGATGTCAATTTGTTCACAATAACCAGAAATTCTAGCAAAGGTTTCCTGGTTTTTTGGGTACCCAGAAACACTAACATTTCCTTCTATATAACCCCCAGTTTTTCTTCCAGCCAGTACATCCATCAATGTGGTTTTGCCTGCGCCAGAGACCCCCATTACTGCTGTTAAAATTTGTGGTCTGAAAGCTCCACTCACATCCTTGAGCAGTCGTAATCGTTTCTCCGAAACCACTTCCTTCATCTCCTGATGAAAACGAAATTATATAAGCTTCTGTGTCATTGCACACACCCACACACCCTGAGAGAGAGATCGAGAGAGAGAAAGAGAGATAGATTTTACAGCAGGCATGTTGATGTAGTAACTTATGTGGTTGAATGCAAGGGAGAAGGGCTGGAAAGGTAGCACCATGCCTCTCTCAGGAACTGCCAAAGTTGTTACTGGATGATCAGCACCCATGCTATAAAATGGGTGTTCCTCATTTTTATCAGATTGAACTGGGCCACAAGCCTGGTGCTTTCGGGGAGCTGAAACCATTGAACAACTAGTGAGCCATGACACAAATCATAGGAATGGGGGAGATTTTTTAATACTATCATAAACTAAGTAGGTATCAGAGGATTGGTTCACTGTCCCCTACTCCAACTGAAACTGTTTACCCCCTCTTAGGGTGTAAATTTTGTAACTTAATGAATCAATCAATAGTTTCCAAAATTTAGAAAACTTGTAAATCTCTAAAATAGAAAAAATAGGTGCAGGCAGAAAAGAAAGAAGGCCTGGGAATGGGTTGGTAATGGAAGTGTTTTTTGTGATGTTTCTAAGAAAATGCAGTTGTTCTTTGTAATCCATATGAAATCTGCAAGACAGGTGTCATAATTGGGATTGTTGGCTTTCTATGGTTATTAAATATTAGGAATTACAAATTTCACACCAGCTATCTCTTGGGAGTTCAACTGGAAAATCCAAAATTGAATCTTGCCCTACAATAATTATTTATTAAAGATGTGACATTTTATTTGGAAACTTAACCGAGATTTAAAAGTTCATTTAAGTTCTGATTAAAGTTTGACCAAACTAAGCTCCTCAAAAAATTATGAAGCGAGAGAGCAGACCAGACTTTCACAGCCATGTCCCATAAAATGGGTCCAAAAAAAAAGAAGGAAACGATTAAAGAGGCAGAATGAAATCGGATCCCAATAGATATCTATCTTTGTAGGTGGTCAAATGTCCTCCTCTGTGGATAGAAACAGGGATACCGTCGGTTGTATTTAAAGAATATCCCGGGCCTTCTTGTAAACATCCAAAGGAAAAAAGTAGCAGTGTCAAGGATGTACCACTAAGATATCCCAAGGCTAGGATACATAAAACATTAAAGAGCAAAGAAAAGCCAGCTACAGCTCCTATGCATATCCAGAACCAATATTCCTCGGAAAACATTCCCCTTGATTTAAGGAAGGCCTTCCCCACCGTGCCTGCATTGCTGGCCACATCAATGTTTGGCTATGACAAATACCACACACATATATGGTTAGTCAATGGCTTGTTCTTATGATAAGTAGTAAGAGACCAAAATTATAGAAGAAGTTCAAGTAACATGAAACAAGGAGTGCACACTCCATGTGCATGGTAGAACAAAATTTCCACCAGCCCTTTTCCTTTAAGACATTAAACTACCGCAAGTTACCTTATGGTATTATGAATTGATGTATGACTGTTACACATCAAATCATAGCATACCCACCCAAAAAGAGGAAAAATATGAATTTCTGCTAACCACCCTGTGAAACTAGGTTGGAGCTTACCAGGCTCCATCTCTTGTCCAAGAATTCATTAAGGGCAACACCATTCTGGGAATATGTCATAGGAGAGACCCAATAACCCCAGACCCACCATGAAGGAATATCATCTGGAGACAAAAGAAAATAGCCCACATCTCTCAAACAATTATGGTTTGTGTTTTTTTTTTTTGTTTGGGAGAGAGAGAGAGAGAGAGAGAGAGTAGGCTAGTGACGATAGCCCACCTCTTCCAAAATTTATAAGAGTGAAAAAATAAGATGAGAAAGGACCTTTAGATATAATAAAACCACCAAGGATGTTAATTGCAATGAGGATAGCAATTGCAAATGAGTTGGCAACAACTGCTGTCCTTCCAACCGCAGCTATGAGACGGAAGAGTCCCATTGACATTTGGTGCATACAAAAGAGTACAAGAAATTGTCGAAGAAACCTGCAAAGATAAATCTTCAGACAATAAATCAACAACGATCACTTGTATTTACTCTTGGACTAAAAAATCTTGTGAATCGTCAAGGTAAGTAAAGTATGTCCGGTATGTTGTGTTTGAACCCATATAGCCTAGGCAACAACATATAGACTCTAAAGGGGTTTGAGAAGCTGCTTGGTAGAATTATTTCAGAGTGGAGATCTATCATCTTTATTGGAAAACATAATTACTATAACTAAATAAACAGCACGTATTTCTCGAATCTAACAGATCAAAGAATGTTAACAATAAACAAATCTACCATAGCCGTAATGCAAAAGAAAGAATATTGGAAAGTTAGATGAAGTTGATGCCCTACATTAACCGCACTAAAGAATAGTCTCCTACCATTTCATAGATATCAATGTTGATACCAAAATTAAACAGTTTGTTAAGATGAAGACAATGTATGGACCAGCAGGAATTGTAGCATAAATTTTCTCTACAACTCTCTCTAAGGACACTTACGTAGTATTTTCAAATCCACCAAGTGTCTCACCTAGTAACAGATGGGGCAAAGCCAATCACATAATATGTTGAGCAAACCCACATCCCAGATTCAAAGAATGACATAGGCAAGTGAAGCACAAAGATAGGCAGCAAGAAGGCCCATCCTGGATAGAGTTGCAGGTCCCTTTGCTTGTAAAATACTGGCAAACGTAAGATGGTCATGGTAAGCTCTGTCATGCCATTGAATGTAACAACCACCACTCCAGAATATAATGCCCCAAGATATCTGTTAACCACTATTTTGCATTAGTTTGGATTTTTTTAGGGACTATAACTTGACCTGCACACTTTTGGATAAACTGATATAATTTAGAGGCCTTAGCGATGACAACAATATTTGTCAAGTTAGCACACTGTTTATGGATGCTCATCAATAATTAAATAGATATTTAAGCGAATGCTAAAAAAGAAAACTACATAAAGCAGAAAATAATCCTAAATATATTGTTCCAAAATCTTCCACTTCTGTATTTGCAATTGAGGCAAAACTAAGTTTCATTCCTTTCTTTGGAACTAAGGGGCAAAACTAAGTTTCTCTTCAATATCCAAGAAAATTTTTTGTTTTAAAGCCATAACAGCATTTTACCAGTAGTCAAAGAGGAAAAATTATGATTATTTCTATTCACTTTAACTACAAAAATGGAAGAAAAAGGCAGGTTCACTATAAGTATATTTAAAATTTATTGGTTAGATATGTCCAAATGCATTATTTACTACAAACACTTTAACCAGAACTTGTCACTAGATAATCAAATAAAAACACAGTAAATTTTGAAAGAAAGAAATAACACCTGTTGCCGTCAGTAATGGAACCTTGTTTCGTTCCAGTCCTCAAGAATACAGTCATAACTATTAAGGCCATGATGGAGATTTGGACCATCTTGAAGATGTGCAGAAAGGAGTTTCTTTTCATTAGTAACCATTCCCTCCAAAAGCATGCAACGAAGAGCTGCCACCTGGAAAGGCCATACTTCTCGGAGGCTAGGGCAAAAGGGCAGGCTTTTGACAAGTCACAGGGAATATGCAATTCCTGGTTTAAAAGCTGGCCCACATGAAAGGACTGGAAGGCCCTCGCAAATGTCTTTATAGGAACATATTTATAGGGGCGAGTCATGTCAGCCCAATATTGTTCTTGATCCATCTTAGACATCACCTGGTTATACGAACACCTACGGTTATATAAATTTGCTCAAACTTGTTGATATTCTTTCCCAAATTTATCACATTCAATGGTCAATTAGGATGGAATTAGGTTTCAGCACATGATAATAACTGAGATGGTATAATGACAGTACCATTAGTGATTTTCCAAACTTTTGAAAAAACAAAGTGCCCAATGCCAAATTTCAGCCAAAAGAAAAATCTACGCTACACAGACACGCACGCACGCTCGTGCACACACACACACACACACACGACACACACACTAAAGTTTTGCATTTAGATTCAATCAAAGTCTAAACCTCTCTTCACTCAGATAACTTCCTTACTGTCAAATCAAGGTTGGAGATGAAATGCCATAATTTAAACTTTGGCCATCTGGCCATGAGAATCAAGAAGGACTACTGAATTTAGCAACACAACGTATGGCTCAAATTAAGAAAATGAAACAATGTCTGAAATGAGGATTACAAATTTATCTAATGCAATAGACGTTCATGATTTTGGACCACATGCTCACCACCTTATGCGGCTTATAGAATCTTTTTGTCACCCAACTGTGAAATGACCACCTTGGAAATTACATAATCATGCCTTTAATGAATTTGAAGACATCATGAAGACCCAATCATTTGGAAGCCATGCCTTAGATTGAGGAATGACAAAAATGTTACAGCAATGTTAGGAATAACCCTAAATCACACCAACTTGACATGTATCACAAGTCAAACCAACTTTTAAATAAGATATCCCCTCTTTCTCTATATCAATCAATTCCTTGATCATAGGACTATGTTTCCAGAGAGAGCAAAATCCAGCTCGTAATTCAAAAAACATTCAGACCCCTTGATCTTTTGCCAAATTCTATTGACAAGAAATGATTCATCCATTTTAAAGAACTTGTAGCCTAAACAAAAGACAGTTCTAAAAGAGAACTTTAAAAAACAATTGTAAACATCTAGATAGGTTGAGCAAATACCTCTTGGAGAAAGTCTGCAATGTTCTTTCTACTGGGACAACTGAATCCCATGAACTTGAAGAAATCTAAAATCTTTTCACGAGGGCCTTGGTAAGCAATTTGACCTTCATTCATGAGGATAACTTCATCAAAGAGTTGGAAGGTCTCAGGGGTAGGTTGTATCATTGATATAACCATGGTTACATCCATCGTGTGAACGAACTGATGTAAGTACTCCACAATCTGAAAAATGGTCAAACTATCTAAACCTGTAGATATCTCGTCCATGAAGAACACTCTTGCTGACCCAACCAACATCTCCCCTACCATGTGAAATTTAATGAAGAGGATTGAAATCATAGCGAAAGCTTTGCCAAGATACTAACAAAAAAAGGACTATTCAAAATTTAAAGCCGTGAATGTACAAGTGATGCATGTCAATATTCTTCTTAGCTTAATTCATTGCGCAATTCATGTGAAACTATCACTATAATAGGAATTTATGATTGACAGGGTAATCAAATGATCCGTCAAGATAGTTTGCATGCTTATCATGGCTCTAAATACACTATAATCATTAATCAGCCATTGACATTACACAATATTCTGTTGAGACAGTGAGTCAACTACTTGTATAGTAGTATTTAGCATTTCTTTCAAAAACAATCAAGACACACTTAATTTCAAAAAAGGGAGAATATCTCCGCCCAATTAAGGACCATTACATTGTCTGCCCTCCGCATTTTTGGGGCCTGGGGCAAGTTTTTTCGGCTCAAATTTGGCACTCATATTCTTTTGACTTGGCAAATATGTTAAAAAAAAACTGAAAAAACTAGAGAAGGGCTCTTTTTGTGGACAGAGAGAATGTAGTGAATGTGGACACCCATTTCAGGAAAGAAAAAATGGTGTTAGATAGAGGCCCTAAGGAGAATTCTTTGACCCCAAATTTTGTAGATTGCATCATCATCACAACATGAAGAATTTTAAAAAGGAAAGAAAGATTGATTTCGAGTTCTTAAAGGGTTGGATTTATAATGTAGATTCAGGATTAATATAAACTTTTGACAAAGTTTTACGTTGGCGGCCATCCTAACACAACCCACCTCCTTTATCTCGGCTCGGACAAATTAAATGGAAGTTTTAGAGTTCCTACTTAGACCACTGAGTTTATGGCCCTTGCTAGAGCAGAATGGCTGACCAAGATTCTTCTAGCATATCCCAAATAGTTGGGAAAAGGTACTGATGATGATGAAAGGTCTATTTCATGGACGGCTCTTGCTCCCCGAGTTCAAGAAAACCATTTTCCTAATTTTTTTTTAAAATGTTTTACATGGACTTCTTCACTTAGTCCAAGAGATTGTGGATCTCAAATTTAGGGCGAAACAAATGCCCATAGGACCCCAAAACAAGGGAAGGTGGACCACTGTAGCGCTCCGCCCTTGAGTACACCAAATGTTTTCCCATCTAAAAGTTTTACAACTGTAATGTTTATGTTTTGAAAGTTTAAAATTTGTTTTAAAATTTTATCTCATTCTATTTCTCCCTTATTATAATTAACTCACATGGAAACGTGCTTCTCCTAACCAAGCAAAACTACCCACTTGTCTTTCAGGTAAACCAAGCAAAACTACCCAAGAAGCTCAGCAAAAATTTAGCTACATACCCTCCTTCACATTCATTATGGTTCTAGAATTAATTGAACATAACAATTTATGTGAGTCTTTATTGTTCTAATCTTATTTTTCCTTTTATCAAATAATTTTTGCTTTCTAATTGGTGGTTTTCCAAAACTTCTAGTATCTCAAATTGATCATTTTAGTTTCGTGCAACGCATTTCCCAGTGAAAAATAAACAATAATTCAATACAAAAACACTGGTCATAGTTCTAGAAATACACAAAAGCAAAAGAGACAGGGACTTGGCATATTTAGAAGGTGTTCAGTGATTTTGAAGTTTTACCGATTGTAAGTCTTTTCTTTTGGCCACCAGAAATCCCTCTTTGCATTTGATCACCCACTATCGTATCAGCACAATTTTCCAATCCTAGGACCTGTTTTTATCAGTAAGAAAATCCCAATTAGAGGATGAAGCAAATATTAACATTTTTTTTTTTTCATGTATCCCCTTTGGTCAAAATCTGAAAGAAAGAACATGGCACAAAAGTAGATAATTGGGTCATAATTCATTTCTTCAAAAGATTATTGTTATGAGAGCCATTAATTACAAATGATGTAGCAATATTCTTGTGCAATACCTTAAGAATATGATCAATCACAAGGGATCTTCCTTTGTCTTCCTCCAAGTTAGCCTGAAGCAATAACTCAATAAGAGTAGACATTTGAAAACCTTTCTTCCATTAAAGAAAAATCACAGTAAAGCTCTTCCATCAAAAGAGTAAGAAATGAAGCAGAAAGAGTGACCTTCATAAATGTGTCAATCTCTGGGTGTGGTGTAATACCTAGAGCCTTCTCTCTCCTGCATATCTCAGCTAGCATCTCTAGCACACACAAGTTCAGAGAAAGTCATTAGTGTGAGTTTTTTAAGGGCAAAAATCCCAGATAAATGTCATTCATTGCTCTCTCTCTCTCTCTCTCTCTCTCTCTCTCTCTCTCTCTCATGTTTCAGGGTGAACCAGAAGGAGCTAAATATGCTCCATCATAAGGAAAAGATACCTTTTAGCTCAATTTCAGTCCATGGTGTCACAAACCAGGTTCCAAAGATTCTAAAATTTTTAACATTACCAGTGAAATTCTTGAGACTCCCCATATTTTCCATTGAAAAATCGATCTTATTAATATCAACATAACATGAAATCTGAGTAAAGAGAGCTGTCACTCAGATTGCATGTTAGTTCGGTATTAGTAGGAAGGCATTTCTCAATTCACTACTTCAACCCTAACCATTTCCTCTCTCTGCCTCAGCGAAAATTGCATCATCCATCTCTCCTCTCTTCCTGCCACTGCACATTTTACATCATTCATATCTGTTTCGGGTGGGCCGCCCTTGAAGGCCGAAAGCCTTCATTTGAAATGTGTTTGCCGTCTAAGTTTTATTCTAGAGTTTGGTTGGAGCAATATCCGCAATGTTGTCAGTTTCGCTTCGGAGCATTTGTTCCGTTTGGTTAGAAAAATGACTGTTTGATTTGCGGGAAAACTCTGGATTTTTTTATTTATAAATATATTAAATATGGGGAAAATTGTTTAAAACCCTCAAATATACACTTTTTGCTTTATCCGGTCTACTTTCTTTTAACATATTTTTGTCCGAATCTAACTTTTTTTAGCTAACACCCCAATATAAAAAGTTTTTTTTTGAATGAAAATATCCTTTTCGTACCTAACAAATCATTTTCAAATCTCAATAAAAAGAAACACCGCACCGCTCTTATACAAAGCTAAGTCGGTTACTTCAAAACGACGGACTGCCCCTTCAAAATGTCGTACCGCCACTTCAAAATGCCTGCCTGCCTCTTCAAAATTCCATATCGCTATTTTCAAAACACCGTACAACCCATTTTTCCAATAGCAAATCCCATGCCGGACCGCCTACCCATCAAAATAATAGTCAGACCGCCCTCTTCAGCTAAAATAATTTGCTAGGTATGGGAAGGATATTTTCGTCAAAAAAAAAAATCTTTTTTTTGTATTAGAGATTATTTGTTAAGAAACATGGTTTGTTGAGAGGAGTTGCTAAGAAAAGTTAGGTTACGGGTAAAGTGCCTAGAAAGTCCCAGGGTTTTAATTAAATTTCCCTTAAATATTTGTATATAAAATATAGAGTGATTTATGTATGGACCCTAAAGTTTTAGGTAAAATACGAAATGCTCTGCTTATATGTAGAAATTACAAAGATGGTCAGTCAACCCCTTTTTTTTCTAAAATTGCCTCTTGATTCAACCTAAATTTTGATTATTATTTTTTTAGTTTTTTTCATTAGTAGGGTAATGCCCCAAGCTTTAAGGCATTGCCCTACTAACAAAAAATAAAAAATAAAACTGTGTTGACCGAAGAGTAATTTTGGGAAAACAAGTGGGAGAAATTCTTTGTAATTTCCACATATAAATGGAGCAGTTCGTATTTTACTTAAAATTTTAGGAACCGTATGTAAATCACTCTAAAATATATAAAAATAATAGAAAATTTCAAAATAAAAATTTTAAAAAAATAAAAAATATTTTTATATCGATATTTCTTTGTTTCATTCGAAGCTTTGGCCAAATCATCCCAAAGCAGACCCGAAGTGGCCCGAATCTAACCGAAACGGCAGCATCAGGCTTAGAATGAAGCAAAGCAAATTTGACTGATTCTTATTCTCTCCGCGTCCAAATTTTATTTTACTTTTACATTTGATCTTCCAAAACCTTATTATGAAACTTGCTCTTCATACCTTGCTATGGTTTACTTTAATCTGTTTTAGTTTACTAGTTAAAAATAGCACGGTCTTAATGATGATTAATTATTTGTTGTTTTAATTGTCGTTTTTTTTTTTTTTTTCTCAAGGCCTTTTTTTTGGCACTAAGTGATTTTTTTTGCTCTTTTTTACCTCCATTTTCTACAGTACAACACAAACAATACTTTGTTTACAAATCCCTTATTTAAAATAGTAATCTTTTGAAAAACCCTTTCTTGACCATTCTGTTAATGTATTTTAGGGGCAAAGGAGAGAGAGAGAGAGAGAGAGAGAGACTTTCTATGTTTGATGAATTACTGTAATCAGTACACTTTAGATAATCAGTGGACTGGTAGTGCTTAACTTTGGGAATGAATAGGCTTAGGGTCCGTTTCCAAAAAGAAAAGGGTGTGGTTTGCATAGAGCCTAGGCTCTAAACAATCAAATTAAAGCATATCTTCAAATAGTGTCTAGAAATGTGGTTTCAATACTAGAAATCTTTGTGACCACTTAAAAGTATGTTTTAATCTTTATTTATAAAGTTTAAAGCTTCAAGAATAGTGTGGATCGACATATCTATGAAAATTTGAAAATATTAAAAATTGATGGTGCAAACATGCGTTATAAAATACACTATTTCCAACCCTTGAAATCCATTTTTTTTTCATGTCCATGCATCTTGATTTCCAGATGATCAATTTGAGGATATTTGGGCATCAAAACAATCTCTTCTAGTGAAAGTTTTTTGGTAGGCTCTAATTTGATTGTTTAGAGCCTCTGCTCTATATAAACTTTTCCCAAAAGAGAAAGCTTATGATGCATATAAAATTGGATGGGGCCGAATTGCTGATCTAGAAAACAGTTAAAAATAAATAAAATAAAATAAAATAAAATAGCTATTAAATTGGGGTTTATACGGTGGGGATATATAGGTGCCTAAAAATATATTAAATAAGGTGAAAAAAGAAAAAAATTATAAGTTTGGGTTCTAAGGGGGAATTGATCCCGACCAATTCTCATCCATATCGAAAATTGTACTATCGTGGAAGTGGTTCAGTCCTGACCGATTCCTATCCAAATCGAAAATTGTAGGCTTTGAAATACTAGTCATACCTAAGTATTTAGAAACTCAAAACTCTCTATTTCATTTCTAAAATAATCATTCTAAATATATAAATTTTTTATTTAAAAAATTCTTCCTAATTTGCCCTAGGGGGTAAGCACACACTGTGTTCCTTTGGGAATACATTATTTTTGCTTTTCAAACTTCCCCTCTTGCATGAGGGCTGGCAATGAGCCCGGCCTGAGTTGGCCCACCCCTGGCCTTAGCTTGGCCCTAGTCTCCACAGGGCAAGCCCAAGCCCGGTCTAGCCCGAACCTTGCCAAAAAGGCCTTAGCGCTGGCCCAGACTTGGCTGTGTCCTTATTCGGGTCAGGCCCAGCTAGGCTGGGCCAAATAGAATCAAAGAAAAATAAAGGAAAAAAACAAAAGAAAACAAGAGCCAAACTAGACTGGTGTTGTCATGGCCCAGGGCCAAGCCCACCGTGGCCTAGTCCTACCCTCAGGCTGCGATGGCTGGGACATGGCCTGCTCTCAGGCCATATTTTGTGACCTAGGTCGTAGTTTTTTAGGACTGGGCCGATCCGAACCATCCAGTCCATTGTCACCCCTACCCATGTACAATACTATCTACCACAATACCTAGAAGAAGACTTCCAATATAAATGTTAGCATAAGATTACCTGATTGGGTCTCATTGCCTAATAAACGGCATGAAAAATCCAATGTCTCTCTCACTGTCATTCGCCCATTGTGAAGATCGTGTTGACCTACATAAGAGCAAGTCCTTAACGGTTCGAAATCCCTCAAGTCTTTGCCATTATATGTCACTTTACCACGAACCTATCAAAAATTCAGTTAGTTAAAAAGACATAAATTTTCCTCCCACATTTAACATTAACTATAGGGATTTTATACTGTTAGATTACTTACCCTTGATACAAAGAAGCTCACATCAAACCTAGTCATCAAATATGATTTATCAAATTAAGCAGGTAAAGGTAGTCACAAGGTTCGAGAGATGATCAATGAAACATCTTGAGCCATTCAATTTCATTTCTGACAGCTATAAATGCTTGCGTTCTTTTTTGTACCAGAGCTAAACATTCTTATTGTAAGTATTTCCTTAACTTTGTTCATAATAAGCTTACTCACCCTTAAATTAGGATCAAGTTTTCCGGCAAGGGCTTGCAACAATGTTGTTTTACCAGAGCTTGGAGGCCCAAGAACCAGAGTCATCCTTAAAAAAAAAAAAAAGGGATAAAAAATTTGTGATTGATTGTAGAGATGAACTTAACACCAATTTTGGAAATATGAAGAAGAAAAAATAAAATGTAGTAGAACATACCTTGAGGGCTTTACAATGCCATTCACCCGTTTGAGAATATTCAATTTTGCTTTATTTGAGGGTGAGAGGCCTATGAAGCCTAGCATGTCCTAATAAAACAAGTATCATATATGATATTATGAACACGATTTTTTTTTAAAGGAAATCAACTTAGAAAGTATATAATTTATATGAAAAAAGGAACATTGCTCCAAAATAGAAAGTAAAAAAATAGAAAAGAAAACCTCCAAAGTATTGATTGTGGCATTCACTAGTGTGGGAAGAGCCCTTCTTCCAATGTGTGCATCAGCCTCCACACATAATCGCTCAAAGCGGACCTCAATTTTAGGAATATTGATTCCAACCCTACAAAAACAACATATCAAAATAACATGAGTACAAAACACATACACTTTCTCTCTCACACATGCATACACATATCTATCACTCTGTGCGTCATAAACGCAGACTCTCTTACTCTTAATGTAAGTTATTCTTGCAAAAAGGTCTACCACTATGAATATCACATAGTTCCCGCTTTCTCTGTGTGCATGTGTGCATGTGGTGTATGTAAGAATTCTTGCCTGTCGATCCTTCTCCTCATTTCGCGAAGAAACCATCCATTGTCGGTCCTTAGCATCCCGTGCACTAGCCGCTCCTCATGGTAAAGTTGGTGGGACACATCGACACACTCCATGGCATCCCCTTCTTCCTCAGAGGAATCAGAAGGCTTAAGAATGTCACTACTTGCTTTCCATCCCTCTTGATGATGCATTATTACTAAACTTTCAAACAATCTTCTGCAACCAAAAGAAAGCTGTAGAATTTTAAATTTTATTTCTTTTTTGAAGTTAAATTTTTCTGATATAGCATATTATATAGAAACAATCTCTCCATAATCTTAGAAATGTGTTTCAATTCATATTGAATTTGTCAATTTTGGAAAGAACTAGGTTTTGTTAATTGTGGATTTTAACAGAGATACTAGCGGATAGTAAACTTCATTAATGGTGGATTTTAACATGTTACATGCTTCGTTAATGGCGGATTTTAGTACATAGTACGCTTCGTTAGTAATGGATTTTAGTACATAATAAGCTTCGTCCATGGTGGATATTAGCAAAGATTACTGAAAGATGCAAAGCTCAATCAATGGCAAAGTTCAGTAGGGACCCAAGTCATCAAATTGACCGTCCAAGTTTTTGATGGCCAAACCTAAGTGTATAAGAATCCAAAATAACTACGAAAATTTAATATATTATAACTTTTTTTTTTGGGTGAATCAGAGTGAAGAGAGGGCCGCTGCCTCTGGGATTGAGCCTAGGAATTAGTGTTGCAAACCGGCTAGTGCTAACCAATTAAGCTCATGCTCTTTTTCTATTATCATCCAATTTACCTGAAAATACATTAATGGATTAGTTCACGATCTCTAAGCTGGCCGAGTGGTTACTTGGGCCCTTGCCGAGAACGAGTTATCCCAAGATAGAGGTCCAACTCCGGGATCTTAAAAAAATTATGAAAGCTCCTAAAAAAATAAGAAATATATTTGTAGAATATTTATTTGTGATTTCTATTATGTTGGCAAAGATTAAAAAGTATTTTGGCCGTAAATACTTATTTTTATACTTTTTACTTTTTTTTCCCTTTTTTTTAGGAAATTTCAAAAATACCCCCTTTAACAAACTCATCTTTTATATATATATTTTTTTGTACTTTTTTAACCACAAATAACTGTGTTTCGTTAAAGTTTATTTTGAATATATTTTTTTCATTTCTTTTACATTTTTTGGTATTTTTATTTATTTTGAGTAATTTTGAGGTGGTACAGTATTCGGCGCTCTGGGCCGAGTTACACGGACGCGGGCTAATACTCAGCTGGGCAATAGGCTGAGCAGTCGGCCCGAGTCGGCTTTTCCAACGCTGGGATTAACGTGGGGTAGGGTTTTGGTGCGTAAGTCGATCCACCAATTTAAATGTATCTTCTATCTTAGAAATAGATTTTGAATCCAAAATTTCACAAGTGACCACCACGATCATGAATATGGGAAATAAATAATAAAATTCTTTTAAAATTATTCATCTTGAATATTTATTTTACCATTTTAATTCTTTGCAAATCATCAAATTTGCACTATTTTAAAAGCTACAAAACTATGGATCACAAAAATTGCATTAAAAGTGATTTAGGATAAATTGCATACCAGAATCTATCAAATATCAAGGTGTCTTCATGCACGCACAATTAAGTTTTCCTTTTAATAATCAAATCAAGATTTGATAATCGTGGTTAATGGGTCGGGTCATGGACCCAGTTAACCCAACCGGGCCCGGGTCTCGACCCAGATAATAGACCCAACTCGGTGGATCTGGGTCCAGGTCCGATTTAGACCTTATTGGGTCGGGCTGAGTCTAGATCGGGGTTAACCCGACCTAGTATTTATATGTATAACGTACATATAAAATATGGTAACATCTATTAGAAAATATTTAATTTACTTTTTTATGTTTTTTTGTTTCTTGACCTAGACCTAGACTCAAACCCGGGTTGGGCCAGGTCAGGGCCATCCTAGACATAGTTGAGTTGAATCAAGGTTCGGGTCAGGTCAACTAAACATAGTTGAGTTGGGTCCGGGTCAGGGTCTAGGTCGACCCGACCCATTCCCAGCCCTAAAGATGTCCTCCTCTTTCTTTCTTTCTTTTTTTTTTCCCTTTTTTTTTTTTGGTGAAACGAAAATATCAGCTTGTGGGTTGATTGAAGTTTAGAGTTGGGTCAAAGACTCCAAACTCAGCTTGAATAATTGCGGGTTTAAATGTGACTATTGTGGATGGTAGATCAGAATAGGGTGCGGTTTCTATAGTGCAACGACCTTAGGATATTTGCATAAAGCCATGACTCAATTCCACATTGAAAAATGCTGTGTAGCTCTAAAAAACCTTGTGATTGATTGAAGATTGACTTTTGTCTCAAAGTGTAGAATTTGAACCTGCGATAATAATGCACGTCTCGTGGAGTTGAAAGGGAAACCCACGGTACATGTGGCAAGATAAAACTAATTTCATGGTTGAATTTTATTTTGGAGAAAGTATCTCTTAAAGGGTCAAATTAATTTACAAAATCATTATAGGTGTCAAATCATCCTATTTAACATTAGGAATATAGATTTTAAAGTTTCATTTCACAAAAGTAAGTTTTAAAATACAAGTAAAAATAAACAAAATTACTTGGATTTAGAATTAGGAACCTTAAACAAATAAGGGCATTTTGGTAACTTGGCCCCACTTGAGTGGCTTGAGCAAATGATGCAATACCATGGTTGTTCAGAGTTAGCGACATAGAATAAGGATTTATGATGAAAACAGTGAGTTTAGTGTTTCCAACTTAATCAACTAGGGGCATTTTCTTCATTGGTAGCTCTAGGGGTATTCTTGTAATTTAGCTTTAGCCACGGATATTAATTATTAAAATTCTAGAGTTAACGTCCTCTTAAAGTACAAAGGTTCAAATTAGAAAGAATTGTGATGGGTGTATTTATCAAAACAATCATTATTCTTTTATTAAAAAATTTTATTTAAATAGATAACTTTACTATCAAGCAAAAGCAAATTTAAAATTTTTACAAAAATATAATAGTATTTTGGAAGTTAGTATCTTGAAATTTTATTTGTAGAGCCCTTGTCTTTTAGTTAAAATTTCAATTTTATCCTTTATGTTGTAATAATATTTACAACATCGCTCCAAAAAAAGTAATTTTTTTTTAAAAATATACTATAAAATTAATAAATCCACCCTGCACAACTCTCTCTATCTTGAACCTTTGTAATTTGAAAGGATGTAAAGTTTAGATTACCCTTTATTAAAATGGCTTTGCTTATTCAAGATTCCTAATGGCAATAAAGACAAATTGACCATTTTTTTTTTATACTTTGCAAAAGGTATCATAGTAGAACAAAAATATGATTAAAAATACCCAAATTGCCCTTGTAGGATTGATGCTTTTTATGGGGTATCTTAGTGAAACCAAAATATAATGAAAAATGCCCAAATTGTTCTTGTAGGATTGAGAACCCTAAGCAACTTGGGGTAGCGGCTATTTAGCCCGATTTAAGTAGTTTGAGCAAATGACAAAATACCCTCTATTGTTTAAAGTTAGTAACATAGAACGAGGATTTATGATATAAAATGTGAATTCTATATTGCCACCAAAGGTATTTTCATCATTTGCTTGTTCCATTTTTGAAGTATTGGATTAGTTAAGACATGATTTTAAAAATACAAAGAAACTATAAATAATAATTTTAAAATATTGAATCTAATCTAAAGAAAAGTTGCTCACCTTTTTACAGCTGGTCTTCTAAATCAGCCTGTTGGACAAGTAAGAACGGTCAAATATTAATTTTGAACGGTTTTTCAACCAATCTCAAGCTTCTAAGATTTTGAAATAATCTCCAGTTGTCCGTATTTTTTTTCTCTTGATTCCTAGATTAACCTCAAAGTTTATCAGAATAATTTACCGCGAATCACACCCCCTCTTCTTTATTTCGTCTCTTTCTCTATCCCCATCCTTTTCCTCTTTCTCCCTGCCCCTTGTCCCTTTCTTTCTTTCATATTTATCTTTTATCATTTTTTGTAACTTTCCAACTTTTGTATCTTTCCAAATAATTTTTAAAAAAAAAATGTTTAACGGTGTCTTCTATATCATGAAACCTGGCCTGGCCTGGCCTTATGTAAATTTCTTTAAATGAATATGACCCTCTCTCCTCTGTTTGAGAGTAACACTGTACAAAACAAGATCGAGCAATCGCTATTATTTGGTATTGAGAGAGCTTATCATGATCCAAGAGACCACATGAAACATTCGATCATGCGAGCATCACCATCCAATCAATAGATTGGACGAGGATTGGAGATTGCAGTACCAAGGTGATGCTATCTAATGGATATGGAAAAGCAACATAGGCCGGTCTTATATATCTCTCATATTGGACCGACCCGACAAACAAAGCTATTCAAGCTCTTTATGTCCTAGGTGTCCACCTGACGAAATTAGAGGCCATTTTCCATTTTTATCAAGAAAAAGAGCAACATATTGGAAGAAAACTACAGTTTCAGTTTAAGATAATACGATGATCATTTTGGACAGCCTGATGCGCATCTTATGCTCATGGTTTCTCTAGCTCTCTTCTACATGAGATGAGCCATGATCCTTCATTTCTTATACTGAATTGAACATGAAAGAGATAAAAGGACATGAAACTTCAAGGTTTCGCTTGAAATTCTCCTACTGTCAATTCCAAAAAACACAAAAAAAAAAGCAAGGAAGAAAAGTGAAAGATGAACTTACTGAGAGGTAGAGCGCTGATGAAGAGAGAGAGCTTATGAGAGCGATTTTGTAAGAGAATAAGAGAGTATTTATAGAGAGAGAGAGAACGAGAGCAAGAATGTTAGAGAGCGAGGGAGAGAAAGGAAGTTGACAGCAAGTATTTAAAAGGAGTCAATGAGAAAGAGAGAGAGTGTGTTTTAGTTGATTTTGGGATTTGGAAGAAAGTTCGAGGTTTTGGGGATTCAAAAAGAGGTGCAAACGTGGTTAAGTTCCCTATAATAGATAGGGTTGGCAATTGGGTCCGGCCGACAGGGTGGCAATTGGGTCCGGCCGACACGATCTGGGCGTGTGGGCCTTCCCTAAAATAGATAGGGGTGGCAATTGGGTCCGGCCGACACGATCTGGGTGTGTGGGCCTGTGTTTAAGGGTTGGACCCTTTATGTCCAAAACCCTGGATCCGAGTTGGGTCTGAGTCGGGTTCAGGTCCAAGTCGAGCCATACCCAACCCCACCCATTGCCACCTATAACAATAGAGCAAAAATAGCAGCCATATGGCATGAAAATGCTGCTCGGACCGAGCATAGTGTTCATTTGCTCCCTCGGGTGCAACTTAAGTTAGGAATATTCTTTGGCTCAGGGATGTAACTTTTAGAACCCGATGACCAAGAAAAAAAGTTCTTAACTTGAACTCCATGTGGTTGAAAAAAAAACCAATATCCTAAAATTGAAAAGGGGCCGTCCGAAAATTTCGGAGGACAAAATCGAATATTTAAGAACTCAAAATCCAGAAAATAATCATTTAATAATTCTTAGGTAGATCAAAAACTTAAAACTAAAAGATTTCTCCCAAATAACTCATTTGCTAGAGGGAGTTGATAACAGTATGCTCCCGCGGGAGCATGCTATTTAGTATCAAAATCGTGCAACCAAAGAGGAAGCATACAACAAGTACTCTTCATTAAAGATCTTCAGCCATCAGATTTGAAACCAGAGGTGGGGATTTTCCATTTGACCACATCCGAAGTTTATGTGTACGCTTAGCTTCCCAATTTTATAATATCTGGCTAGAGATGATTGTGGCCTCCGCATGTTAAAGGCAAATACTCTTATAACATGAGTAACATATGATCTTATAGTGCACAATCCCTCAATCAAGTATGCAAAAGGATTTCGAAAATAAGGAACATGGTATTTAGCAGAAGAGTTTATGAGAAATTAGAGAAGGACACGGTTTCTATGAGTCCATGTAGAAATTAGTCATTTATTAGAAATCTATTTTTGAGATGGATTTTTGAATCTAATTTTTAAAGACATGTAATTTCTAACATGGAGTTCATGAATATGAAAAAATAAATAAAATTTGACAATTAAAAATAATAATTCTATTAAAAAAATATTTGGACCGTTAGTTTCAATTGTTTTCATATGGACCATCTATTTACATCTATCTTTAAAATGGATGCTTGTTAGTTTCAATTGTTTTCATATGGACCATCTATTTACATCTATCTTTAAAATGGATGCTTTGTACCTCTGGGACCGCAAATGTAGAAACGTGGTCCATGAAACAATTTTCCGAAAGCTTTTTTGGGTGATTAGATTTCTACACTTCATTGGGGAACTGTCTCTTTGTGCAGGAATTTCGCCAGAAGTTCGGTGCTTGATGTTACTTTTTATCTTGTTCGAAAATGTTGAGTGATACGTGGATCATGGCAAAGAGATAACTCCTTTCTAATTGGGAAAGCCAAACAATTTTAGGAGGAAAAGGCTTTTCTAGGCCTTCCTTTTTCTCAAGAAAAGTCTTTGAAGTCTCTTTCCGGATAAGTCTTTCATGGTTTCTCTCAAAGTTAGTTTCTTGCTATAAATGATTTCTTTTGAAGTTTTTGTGACACGAGTTTAAGACCTTCCTTACAAAGACCGAAGCCAAGGGAGGACTTTAGATCTTAAAAGTGCAAAATGAGGGCAATTAATTAAAAAAATAAATAAATAATAAAAGATATCAACATAAAATACAAAATTTTGAGATAATTTAATGTAGTTTTTTTGGATAGGAGCACTGAGGTATACAGCATAGGCTAAGTACCCATGTAATGGAATGCATTCAATCAACTGGCTCACTCTCATCTCTTCAGGATTTGAAATTATTATACGAATTAAGACTTTAGATTTTGAAAGTAAAAAATGAGAGCAGTTTGGTAAAAATAAAACAATAAAAAATATAAAAATAATTAATTAAAATGCATCATTTTGAGATAATTTATTGTAAGTTTACGAGGATATGAACACTGAGGTATACAACCTAGGAGTTGACTAAGTACTGTTATAATCGTATGTATTCAATCAACTGGGCTCAACCCGACCTAGTATTTAAGTATTATAAAATATCCAATAAACTTTTTGATATCTTTTTATTTCTTGATCTGAACCCAAACAGGGGTTGGGTCCTGTCTAGGTCGGGTCCAACCTAAACGTAGTTGAGTTGGGCCTAGGTATAGGTCGATCCGACCCATTCCCAAACCCAAAGATATTCTCCTCTTTTTTCTTAGTTTTTTTTTTTTTCTTTGTCAAAAGGAAATATCAGCATGTGGGTTAATTGAAGTTTAGAGTTGGGTCAAAGACTCCAAACTCCCATGAGCTTGAATAATTGCGGGTTTAGATGTGACTATTGTTGATAGTAGATCAAAATAAGGTGCAGTTTCTATAGGGCCCTGACCTTAGGATATTTGAATAAAGCCACGACTCTATTCCACATTGGAAAATGGTGTTGTGGGTCTAAAAAAAACATTGTGATTGACTGCGAATCGACTTTTGTCTTGGATTGAAGAATTTGAAACGGCAATAATAATGCAGATCTCGTGGATTTGAAATGGAAATCCACAGCACATGTTGCAAGATAAAACTAATTTCATGGTTCAATTTTTTTTTTGGGGGTAAAGTATCTATCAAAGGGTCAAATTAATTTAAAAAATCATTAAATGTGTCAAATCATCATATTTAATATTAGGAGTGTAGCTTTTCAAGTTCCATTTCACTAATAACTCCTAAAATATTGTAAAAATAAACAAATTGCCCATATTAAGAATTAGGAACCGTGAACAAATAGGGGCATTTTAGTAACTTAACACCACTTTAGTGGCTCGAGCCAATGACGGACCATGGTTGTTTAGAGTTAGCAACATAGAATAATGATTTATGATGAAAAGAGTGAGTTTAGTATTGCCAACCTTGATCAACTAGGAGCAATTTTCATCATTGACAGTCATTCGCTACTAACTTTAAACAATAAGGGGTATTTTTGTCATTTAACTTGGGCCTCTTAAGTGGGGATAAATTATCAAAATGACTATACTTATTCAAGGTTCCTAATGCTGATAGAGACAAATTGGCCACTTTTTATCATACTTTTTAAGAGGTACCTTAGTGGAAAATAAATATAATGAAAAAAATCAAAATTGCTTTTGTTTAGGATTGAGAACACTAAATAAATAGGGGCATTTTGGTTCTTTAGCCCTACGTGAGTAGAATAGACAAATGATAAAAATACCCCTGATTGACACAAGATATGCTGTATATGGCACATGTTCGTCAAATTTGCATCATGGTATTTTTTTTATAAAAAAAAGTTTATATAAGATTGACACATTAAAAAGTAGAATTAAAAAAGAATAGAGGAGCAAGATTTTATAACTTTTTCCCAATTAATTGGGGTTGGCTACACAAATCATTGTCCGCCATTCTGCGCTATTATGGGCCATACTCTCAGTGAGGCCATAAGTCCCCATATCTTTTCGGACTATTTCAAACCACGTCTTTTTGGCCCCTACCCCTTTCCCTTTTCAGTCCTTCTATTTGAACTAACTCGCACCTTGTAACAAGTGTTGTATTTAGTCGGCGCTACACATGATCAGCCCAACTAAGTATGCTCTCTCTCAGTCATCTTATCACCTATTGGTGCCACAGCTAAATTCTCTCGAATGGATTCATTTTGAATTCTATCTCTTCTTGTCTTGCCACTCATCCATCTCAACATCCTCATATCTGTTACACTCATTTTATGGGTATATTGTTTTTTATCTACCTATAGAGCAAAGATGGTCTCACAAATGTCCTATAGAATGTGTCATTCAGCTTCATTGGTATATGACAATCACATAAAATTCCAATTGCACATCTCTACTCCACCCACCCAGCTCTAACTCTATGTGTGACATCTTTCCCAATTTTTTCATTTTCCTGGATTATCAACTTAGCATATTGAAAGTGCGATTTTTTTTTGTACTTCCTGACCGTCAATCTTAACTACTTCATCGTCTCTACTTCTATTGTTACTAAACTTGCATTCCATATACTTTCTTAGTTTGGCTAATTTTAAAACCTTTGGATTTTAGAACATCCTTCCAAAGTTCTAACTTTGTAGTAAAAACCGTTTTGAGTCTCATCGATCAAAACTATGTCATCTAGGCACAACATGTACCACGGTACCTCATCCTGTAGGCGTCCAGTAAAGTCGTCCTTCATTAAGACAAATAGTTACATGCTCCATACTAACCCTTGATGTAGACCTATTGTTACGGAAAACTCATTCGTTTTTCACTAATTGTTCATACACTATTTAGCGCTTCATTGTACATATCTCTCACCAAGTTGATGTAGTGTTTAAAAACTCTTTACTCTTC